CTTTCCATACTACCATCCATGCATGTCTGATACAATGCACATTCCCTCTCTTTGTCCATAGGTTTCTCTGAACTGCACGAAGAACCACTCCCGCGATGCATCATTTCCGAATCAACAATTGCATATGCGAGGGGTAGAATTTGTCCTATAAACCCAAAGAAAAAAATATCAATTACAACACACTATATTAATTTAGCATTTCATATAGTAGTATAGTCATAGGTAGGTGCAGGTGTGTAGCAAAATAACTATATACTCTGTTGGTGTACTTGTATACCATACTGGTATCATATAATTTTTGAAAATCTTTTTTCTTTCTTTAATTGAATGTAATTGGATTGTACGCACAATATTAATTTAGTATTTCATATAGTAGTATAGTCATAGGTACGTGCAGGTATGTAGCAAAATAATTATATACTCTGTTGGTATACTTGTATACCATACTGGTATCATATAATATTTGAAAATCTTTTGTTTCTTTAACTGAATGTAACTGGATTGTATTCTTACCCTCTGCGTCTTGCGTGGAAGCCGTGAGTATGGTCCCTCTATATGTTGACTTTAAAAAACTTCCATCAACTACAACTGTTGGCCTACAATAGACCCATCCTCTAATCGATGCATATATAGCTATGAATGCATACAAGAAGCTCCCATCTCCTTCAGTGTGTAGTCGTGTCACTGATCCTGGGTTAGCGTACTCTAACATATAAAGATATGTTGGCATTTTCTTGTATGACTCACTTGGTTTTCCTCTCAACAATTGCATTGCTTTTTCTTTTGATCTCCACGCTTGCATGTAGCTTAAGTCCATACCATATGCTTTTTGGATGTCTATCTGGATATCTGTTGGTGTATATATGTTTTTCGGGTCAACAAGTTTATCTTGTACCACAGCTGCAACAAAAGCTGAGACAGCTTGCTTTTGTGAACAAAATCTCTTATCAGTTAAATAACTGTGGACAGAATTGAAATCCGTCACTTTGAAAAGATTTGATGCTCGCAGGCTTGATGCCTTAAGTCTCCAAGTGCATCTTTCATCCACGCATTCAAGGATATACCTGTTTATAATACAAATACAGTTATGTATCATGTTTTGTTGATAAAAAACACACACAAAAATCCGTACAATTATATAGTCACATAGTATACTCTGTTGGTATACTTATATACTGTATCAGTATCATATTTGCTGATAAAAAACATAGACAAAGCAGCACAATTCTATACTCACATAGTATACTGATTTAGCATACATATATACTATATTGGTATTATGTTTTACTGACAATAACAAAGACAAACCAATACAGTTATATACTTGCATAGTATACTGATATAGCATACTTATATACTATACCAGTATCACTGATATAAAACACAGACAAACCAATCCATACTCGCATAGTATACTGCTTTTAGCGTATTATATACTATATAGGTATCACATAGTTTTTTACTTGAAAACATGCTGACGAACCTTCTTGGGCATGATTTATGAATCCGATACTGACATTTTTTCTCTAACGGCATACTGTTTCATAACGAGAGCCAGCAGGTTCTTGTCTTTGTAAATTTGTCCTTTTTCAACATTTTGATGAAATTGATCAGTTATGATGTTTGCATCATCAAGTTGTAAAATGGCGTCATCTCCTTCTTGCACATCAAACGTACTAATCATATTAGTGCTTTCAAATTGTGCAATTTCTGATGAAATTGGAGCAATATCGAAACTGCAGGTGCTTGCAACTATAGTGTTTTTAGCAAACGACACACACAGGGGAAGTGTTGTCATCCCTGCACTTGATTTTTTCAATTCCATATAAACACTAATAAAATCATTAATTTTATTTCTGTTGAGCTAAAGTTATACATATAATCGTAATAATATACAGTAGTATTGATCTTCACAAAGACAAAAACTGAAAGAGAGTCATTCCTTAAGTAAAAAGGAATATTTTTGAAAATAATTTCTCTGCTATTGATGTGTAGTTTTGAAGAAAAAAAAATTCTACATATTTTTTTCTTTTCTTCTTATTGTTCTTCCACTCGTCATTTAGAAATTAGAATTCAAATAAACTTTTGAGCTTAAAATAAAAGGGTTGTAAAAAGTGAATTCCATTAGTTTTGAGAAGAAAACTTGAGCCAGTCCTAACGATAAAGGCATAGTAATTGAGACCAAATTTAAACAGAGGACAAATTTGATCTATTTCTGGGGAAAGTCTGAGTCAGTTCACAAACAATAAGGGCATATTACCAAACATAAGATAAGAACAAAATTGCTCTATGTCCCATTATGCTGCCCACCTAATAACATGGTTTGGGACGAACCTAATATAATCGTTTTAGGTCCCGTATTTATATTATGAAATTCATGAAATATATATAAATACTTAATTGTGAACTCTGAGATGAGCTATGAGTTCACCTCTGATTCGGTACAATTATTAGGCTCCCAATGTGCCTAACACGCTACCAGAATATGTGACACTTTGAATAAACTCATTGGTTTAGAAGTCCTTTTCCTACTGCTTCCTTCCATTTTCTCAACAAATATTTTCTGGCATTCTTAGTTTCTGGATAATCTCTGAACTGCATAAATTGCAGACTACAACAGAGGAGAGAATAAAACAAAAAACAAAAAAGAAGATGGGGAATTCAGTAATATCAGCGTTATTAATAATTGTTTGCTGTTTAGAAGTTGGATTAAACACACTGAATAAAGCAGCTACTAACAAAGGAATGAGCAATTATGTATTTATTCTTTATTCTAACGCGTTAGCCTTACTCGTCCTTCTTCCTTCCACCTTCATCTATCACAGGTTATTTCTGTCTTTCATTTAATATTAAGTTTTCAGTTTCTTGAATCTTACTGTAAATAAATCTTTTTTATGTGCATCTGCAGATCAAAGCCATGTGCTAAGCTCACATTCCCTATTTTGTATAGGATCTTTCTTCTTGCTCTTCTCAGGTATAAATTTAATATTAATTCCGTTAACAAACGAGACCTCAGCCGGCTAATATTTTATGATTTTCTCTTTGAACTATGGCTCTTTTTCTAAATGGGTATTTTTTGGTCTTAATTGGATGATCAAATAAAGCTGTTCGGGACAGACTTTGTTCTACGTGGGGATACAATATAGCTCACCAACTCTGGCTTCTGCCATACTTGATCTTATTCCAGCTTTCACTTTTATAGTTGCTGTCGTTCTTGGGTATGCACCTCTTCTTTTTACTCCATCAATTTTGGATTAATTTCACTTATTGCTGCCAGTCCCTATGCCTTTATCCACTATAACAATAAAGTCACGTAACTTTTTTTTGGTCATATTAAAGTAACTGAGTTTTATTCATTGTGACGGTAATATTGCCACTAACCTTTTACCCAATATAATAATAATACCCAAATTCCTTATTGTTACGTTAAAATAATTGAACTTGCCTATTATAACAATAAAGTCACTAAACTATAACGACAAGACCAACCCATCAAGATAGATTTGATTTACTATTTTAGTGCGTAAACATCAGTTACTTTACAAAGTTCTATAACTTTATTATTATAATCAATAAAGTTCAGTTACCAAATTAACTCTTCAATCTTCCTTCCATTCTTTTTAAAAAAAAAATAAATTCTTGAACAATAGTTGGTTTATTTAATTATTATTAGGATGGAAAAGCTAGTGTTGAGAGCAAAGAGCAGTCAGGCAAAGGCTGTTGGAACGTTAATACTGATAACAGGAGCCTTTATGATGACTTTTTACAAAGGTCCAGCAATTATTTCTCATGAATCAGTAGTGTATAATAGAAATATTGGTCAGCCTCTTTTGTCAACACAATCAAATTGGATCATTGGTAGCTCACTCCTTACAACTGCTAGCTTCTTGGTTAGTCTGCTTTACATAGTTCAGGTACTCCCTTGTCTTCATTTTATTGTTCATTTCATTCCTCAGATTACCTATGAAGTAAAAGTATGTACTAAATTCTGTTTTCTGCCATTTATGTATGATTTTAGGCATGGATAATGAAGGACTATCCACAGGAGTTGATGGTAACTGTAATTGCTTGTGGTTTTGTGACTATTTTGTCATCTGTGGTTGCTTTAATAGCAGAAAAGGATTCAAATGCTTGGAAAATCAAACCAGATTTAAAGTTGATAACAATTTGTTACTCTGTAAGTATCACGAATAAATAATTTGGCTGGCAATCTACTTTTTTAATTAATTAATAAATTGTCTGATAGAAGAGGAGCCTTGACGTAACTGGTAAAGTTGTTGTCATGTGACCAGGAGGTCACGGGTTCGAGCCGTGAGAACAGCCTCTTGCAGAAATGCAGGATAAGGCTGCGTACGATAGATCCTTGTGGTCCGGCTCTTCTCCGGACCACGCGCATAGAGGAGCTTAGTGCACTGGGCTCAGTACTAAAATTAGTGAAGAGATGCAATTGTGACAGGGAATTTTGATGGTTGGAGTTCGAAGTGTGGTCCAAACATGGGCTGTCAAGAAGAAAGGACCTGTTTTTGTGGCTATGTTTATGCCTCTTGGCATGGTTGTTGCTGTTCTAATGGGGGTTGCCTTTCTACATGACGACGTCTATACTGGAAGGTGAGTATAATCAGGTCACTTATAAGGTATTTATCCGTAAATTTTTGTAATAAACATTAATTGGTGACATAATAAAATTGGTAATTAATTTGCTATCATATGTTAAAATACACTAATGGGTGTAAATTTGTTTTACATATTAAATGAAATAAAGTGGTGAGATTGGATTGATTGCAGTGTAATAGGAGCAAGCATCATAACTTTGGGATTCTATGCGGTCATGTGGGGGAAGGCATGTGAAGAAAGAGTGATCCAGGTTTCAGAAACAAGCTTTAATCAAACCCATCAGAGATTGCCACTTCTGAGCAGCAAAAATGACAACTTTTAGAAATTTTGGTGGTTGTATATAAAAACCTGAGTTGCAGTAAGAGAGTATAAATCTACTGCTTCTATCTTAATTCAAGTTTCTTATTGTTTATCCGTAAAACGGTATAGTTGAATTTATACATGATTTCTAGACAAGTAAATTAATTTGATCCAGAAATAAATAAATAATTGAAGAAATATACAATATTTAGCCTTGAGATGAGGATGAATAGTAGAAACAATAATTCCGGGAGCACGACAGTAATGAAATCAAAAGGTAAGAAGATAAAATCGTATAGAGATTTGAATTGATTATAACGTAACAACAATAACAATCCAGTGAAATCCCACTAGTGGGGTCTAGGGAGGGTAGTGTGTACGCAGACCTTACCCCTACCCCGAAGGAGTAGAAATGCTTAGAGATTTGAATTGATTATAACGTAAGTTTACCAGAAAATTCGTGTCCTTTACAAAGATAACAGAGCTCACTAGTTATAACTGCACCTAGGGAACAAGGTCCTAGGATCATGCCCTTCTTTAATGTCAATTATGAGGGCCATTGAAGAATGTGTAACGGTGAGCATAAATGATAAATTCTTTATAGCGGGCAATGTACTAAATGCTGTAAAATATTCTCCATTAAATGCTACCGGGTGGCAGACATTTATTGCATCTTTATGAGCATCATTCTTCCCGATAACAAATGGAACAATTGTCTTCGGTTTTAACTATCCTCTGTCTTCGGCTCCGCGCGTCATTCTCTTATGCAGTTACTTAGCATAGCATATTTTTACCTTATACAGATAGTTCTCCTGCTTCCCGGTGACATTACTTTGTATCACCGGGAAGTTAGTAGAAACATTCTTTTTGACAGAAATTTCTCTGATCCCCTCTGAAAAGCTTCTGACGGTTGATTAGACGCACGTCTCTCCATATTTACTGCCCCGGACACGCATCATCCCATGATTCAGCATAACTTTTGCCGGTTATCGAGGTAATCATGGCCACAAATTTAGCCGCCTAAACTTTTACTTATACGCATCAACCTCATTCATTCATACTCCATAATTCTCCAAACTCTCTCAAACTCTCTTCATTCAACTTGTATTCTGTTCTTCAACCTTTCGTTAACTCTCTTCAAACGAGAAAAGCTTTTCCTTCTTCCATAACATACAATATCTTCTTCTTCAAAAAATACCAGTTCCTCAAAGAACAAAAACAAAGCCGATGACGCCGCTCCTCCAACAGTGAGCACCATCATCCCAAGAAGTCTTGCCACAACAAAAGACTTCGAACAAAAACTTCCTTCTGTTAGCCCTCGTACATGGGCTGTTAGCAGCTATCTTTCTTCCATCTGTCCTTCCAGCATTCTTGTTGTGAAGGAAGATTGTCGTTGCCAGGATTTAGACATTATCGCTCCTGACCTGGCGGAGCGGGTAACCTTACGTAAGAAGGATTTTACGTACTTCTATATGTATCCCTTTACTTTGGGGACATTTTCTCTGAGTGGAGAGCTTGACTCCGTCATTGAGGAGTTTTGCCTCTGTTACCAAGTATGTTTGGTACAAGTGAGTCTCTCTGTGTAGAGGACGATTGCTTGCCTTCGGCGCCTGTGCCAAGAAACAGTAGAGGAGCTAACCTTAGCTAACGTGATGAACCTTTATTCCTCCAAGATCTTCCATGGGGGGATGATCAACTTGAGAATGCGAGGCCACCATGCATTGCTATCCAGCATGGATGATGATAACGATCGTGGGTGGATGCAATGATTCATTTCAGTCGCCAATGGTGAAATCATCCCGGCCACGGCTCCTTCCTTCCCGGAATATTGAAACCGCACTCGTAAGTATAAAGTTTGCTTCTACTCTTGTTAAAGATCATTTCCTCGTCATTATTAACTTTTATTCCTTTACCTGCCTCAGCGAATAGGTAGGTTCCCCCTAGGGTTAAGGGCTTTGACCAATGGGTTCATAAAACTTTGGATGTTACTACGCCCGAAACCCGCTCGTGGAAAGAGCTGTCCGTGAAATATGGGTGGAAGGCCAAAAATCATGGTAAATTTAACTCTTCATATCCTTTCTTTTTCTTATGAGAATGTTATCTGATTCTTCTCTCCTATTGAATATAGGTCTATCCCAGGGCTCAGTTGTCGTCCCCGAGGAGGACGTTTTAGCTGATCTTGCTGATACAGCAAGGTTGATGCAAAAAGCTTTTTCACAGAAAGGCGTCTCGGGGCCTGCTTCTGGTGCAAGTGCTTCTTCTGAGAGTCCCCGGCCGGAGAACAATAAACCAAAAAGAAGGCGTTCCTCCCGCGGTCGGGGGAAAGATAAGAGGGCGAAGAATGTTGCCCCCCAGTCGTCTCCGGAAGTCGTAGTGACGAGCCCTCCGCCCGGGCCGGCCATAGATACTGTGATGATTGATGATGATGCAGAAGCTAGCGAGGATGGAGCTTCTCTACATAGAAGACGTTGACCTTCCTCAACTCAACAGACCGCTCAATCTGTTGAGTTAGTTACACCAACCGAGGATGATGTCTCGACGCTCTGGGGTGAGTACGAAATGGTGGGAAATGCCATCTCCCGCTTACGGATCCTAGTCGCTACATCCGGTATTGTAGGGCTGGGTACCGGGTTGCTGCCGTCTTCGGTTGATGAGCAAAAGCAACCAGCATTGCGTTTGTCGCAGTTGCTTCTCACTCTTCAACACCATCAGCTTCATCTCCATCTTCACCAACACCAGCAACTGCTACATCATCTCTACCTTCACCAATTCTTCCACCAGCAATTTCTACATCATCTCCACCGGTTGCATCTGTCCGAGAAGGGGGTGTTGTTCATCCCCAGTCTCTAGTTCATGGGAATTTGGGGCAAAATTATAAGCCCTCCTCAGAAGATTCGCAAAAGAGGAGGAGCGTTACTTTCTTGGTCTCCACCGGATGCATCTTTTTATCCCGGCCGGTGTCGCGCCCCTTTTCCTCGCGAAATCGGGTTTCGACGTCGTGACAACTCTTTTAAGTAGGGTATTAAAAGAGAAGAAGAGTCGCCACCTAACGGGGTTAAGGTGCGTTAGGACACCTATTTGCAAATAACTCTGTTTTAACTAGTTTGCATCACCAAAGATCGGGTAAGGGCTCGAAATTACCTCGAAGAGAAGGTGTTAGGCACTCTTCGAAGTCCACAACTGTGGGTCCCGGCCGAACACGAAATTATATGAATTGGTCAGACAAACAAAAGACAATAAAAGCAAGAAGTCTGGGAAGTTTTATTAAATACAAATAATTGATTTGAAGACAATACGGGGAGGGGGGGGGGTCCTAAAATTTTTAGCCTAAAGGATCACCCCATGCAACATAAATAATACTTCGTAACTCCCTCAAGATGGGGTGTTACTCGTATTATTCAGCGGGCACAGACTATCATCTCCTGCTACCCAATTACTATCTTGAAGTTGTTATCTAAAGCGCACTAGTTGATTCTAAACCGTGCCTTATGCGTGCACTCCCGTCCCATGCCTATGGTCCAGGAGGCATTTTTGGACCTCTATTTTGGATAGTTCTAGACTTAACTTAGGCTGTTAAAAAAATGATAAAACTAGGCGACATACAAAACAAGTTGGACTTCATGTAAAAGCAATTAAGGGCTCAAGTTAGCCTCCACACTTAGACAACAAATGCACGCGAACAAATTCTCACATTAAGCGTTAGATAGTTTCAGAATTGGGCCAAATTAATGCCATTAAGCCCTATAGACATGATTTCTAGGTGATTCTGGATTCCAGTATCGTATATGCGGTGCTACTGTTCTAAATTAATTGATTTATAGATTATAGGTGTTATAAAACCAACAGACATGATTTCTAAGCGATAGGCATCCAGACATGCAAGAAATTTGAAGAATTCCCGTTATTCATTGACAAGATATACGAATGTTGCATACTGATTATTAAGAAGAATCGCAGACTTCCAGTCATTAATCTTGTAGATGTTGTGCCTAAATGATTTATGCACTAAGTGACAATGAAGTCTAGATTTATGCATGCTTTTGATCGTGATCTAAATGAACAGAGTTGAGAGGTTCATCATTAACGGTTATTAAAACGAATAATGATATCCCATAGACATGGTCTCTAGCGCCAGGGACTGATTTTATGGCTATACTTAGTCCTATAGGCATGATTTCTAGTGAATGGTGCAAGACAATAGCAAGCAAGTGATCAAGAATCCTATTGGCATGATTTCTAGTGTACAGTGCAAGATAATAGCAAGAATCCTATAGGCATGTCTTCTAGGTGAGCGGTATAATAACATCAGCGAATTGATCAATTTAAAGACCTATAGGCATGATTTCTAGATGAAGACCAGTAGAGCATAATCCTATAGTCATAGAATCTGATGAATATGCTACAGTTATCCAAATTGAAAGAATGGTCATTGACATTTTATTTCCTATAGGCATAATATCTAACAAACATATAGGAGTAGAGCATGTTGAATGAATTAAACACCTATAGGCAGGATTTCTACCCGTTTCATGCAAACATTAGAATCTACCCATTCCCAACTTCACTAGCACCCTAATCGTTCATACAGAAATATTATTATAGGCCCAGATTAACAAGTAAAATAGTAATATTACATGGAAATAGACAGACCTATAGCAGGCCCAAATAAACAACTAAATACCCAGCCTTGCTGGGCCTTCAACATTTCCGACCTAGCATACCACACGATCAAAGGTCTATAAGGAAGTTCAGACCCCTTTTGGTGAGCCACAACACCAAGTATTGCATCAACATAATACATGGTAGGGAGGTAGGGTATTAGGGACAGTTTTTAGAAGTTGAGGAATGACTAGAGCCTATGCCCTAGTGTGTCAGAGTTCACAATGGCCTTAATTGGACCCGGAGCAGTGCTCACACTAGGGAGGCCAACAGCAGAACCTAGATAGCCTTGGCTTTAGCTGGCTAAGAGTAGGAATTTAGAATGTCAAAGTAACAAGGAGGGTAGATGGAGATCACTGAACTGAGCATACAGCACAAATGGTCAAGCAAGCCAGTAGGTTCAGCAAGGTGCACATAGCAAAGTATCACATAAACAAGCATCATGGGAACTAGGAGAAGAGACAGGTTTGCAAGCATACATAGGTTGCACTAGTGGACATCT